CTTGCTTCATGATGACTGACATTTGGCTATTTTTCATCAGCTATTGTCCAAAGAGCACTGACACCTAAATTAGAATATTTTAAATGTTATCGGTGCACAAAGAAGGACATTAGGAAGGAAGGAAGAGAGAAGGGAGGAAGGAAGGAAAGAAGGAAGGAAGGAAGAGCAGGAAAGCCTGTACAACAAGGAAAAAGTACAAAATATGTGAGAAGAATAAAACAAGGGAGTGAGAAAGGAAAGGAAAGGAAAGGAAAGGAAAGGAAAGGAAAGGAAAGGAAAAGGGAGGAAAGGAAAAGGGAGGAAAGGAAAGGAAAGGAAAGGAAAGGAAAGGAAAGGAAAGGAAAAAGGCACACGGACTACACCACTAGTAAAGTAAGGATGTAAAGGAAGGGACGCAGAAAGGAATAATATTGGGATGGAAGCAAGGGCAAAAGTGAAACAATACCAAGAAAGAAGGGATGGGAAAAGGAGGATTCTCTTCTTTGCTCTCCACTCTTCCGTATGAACTAGCTCTCTCCGCCTCAACATCTACCGTCTGTAATTACCTGCCTATAGTGTGTGTATGTTGCCTCATTATTTTATTCATTAAATAACTCCTTCATGTTAAGTATGGGTGAGTTATATTAGGGTTTTTTTTATTGATTTTTAGGGATTATAAGCTGTTTTGATCTAGTTTATGAAGTCAAGTCAAGCTGATTATTCTGGAGACCCCAGGTTTTCTTTAACAGCTTAAAAATATACTTTCATGCTTTTATTAGCATAATACTTGGTGATCTTGAACTAATGTGTTTCAGATGTCCACTACAGAAAATGACTCATTTTACCCCCTTGTAAAACCTATTGAAATACTATAAATGTTCTTACACTATATTTCTGATTGGTGTTGACAGTAGAGGATGTGTCAGTGACTTTATAATTCCTCATATACATTCCCCCGACAAAGTTGCACAGCTAAAGTAGGAATTAGGGACTCTCTGGATTGAGTTAGACCAGCCAAAGTGTCCATGTCAGTACTGTAGCAGCGAGTAAATAAATCACACAGAAGATACAAAAAGTCAGCGGATATGCTTCCTGCCAGTTGGTTGACATATTGTTTTGTGACAGGAACAAAAACCAGTGAGAGCCATTAAGTGGATCAAGTGACAGAGATGAAAAAGATAGAAGATGGTGAAAGGGGAGAGGTTGGAAAAAGACAGAAAAAGAGGAACACAAGGGTGAAATCAGTTAAATGAGAATAGAGGGAGTGAGGAATAACGTGAAGTAGAAGGACAGACAGAGGAATCGAGAGTGGGAGAAAGGAGGGAAAGAAAGTCAGAGGGAAAGAGAGATGAGACGATCCATCTTGGCACATTAGGGGGGGATCAAGCCAACACTCCATCATGGCTGTCAGAGAGATGCACACCTCCTCTTTTCTCTCCTCCATCCATGCATCCATCCATCCCCTGTTCACTCTGCCAGCTGGTATTTCACTGAAGAATCTCGACACTAAAAAGTCCTGTCAGGCCTATTTCCTTGTTATTGTCCGGCCCTCTCCTCTCCTTCTTCCTCATCACCCCTCCTCTCCCTCCTCTGACTCTGATACCTTCCCTCTGCTATCCAAGATTAAACGCACCCATGTTGCGCCGCAGGGTGTTTGTGTGTGTGTGTGTGTGTGTTTGAGCTGTGAGGTCCAAAGCAGGACATGTGGGAAGCGCGGAAGTGTGTGTGTTGCCCCGACATTAATCATCTTTAAGGGGCTGACAAGCCTGGTGTGCGACATCACATCACATCAACACCCCCCTCACACACACACACGCTCACACACACACACACCCCCTTCTCCCCCCTTTCTCCTCTTCTTTTCTTTTTCTTCTCCCCTAGATTTATCTGTCCGTTTGCCTCTCTCCGTCACTCATTTTCCTCAGGGATCTTTGTACGGAGAGATAGAGAGACATAGAGGGAGAAAGGAAGAAACACAAAGGGTGAAATTGACAAAAAAAAGGGTGAGAGACAGTGACAGCTATAGGCGTAGATTTTGGGTAGCAGGAAAAGCATTCTCTCAAAATTTTGATCTTGCATTTGTCCCCCCCATTAAAAACATGGACGTAGCAGAAGACTTTTATATTGACAAAATTAAAGACATTTTCACCATAAATTGTTGCAGAAAAGGCACAAATTGGTGCATACAAAACTACCAGAATGCAGGAAATCAAGTGTTTGTTGCTCAAAAGTTTCTGGCAGAGGAGCCCTCAGACCCCCCAGTTTCATATGTGTCCCACCCAATGTTGAAACGAAACCTACGCCCTTGGTGACAGCAAACAAGTTTGAACAATTCATGGAAATGAACGGTAGCGTAGATTTTGGGGGTGACACAGGGGACATGCCCCACTCAATATTTAGAAAATTTCTCATCCTCCCCCCCATTAAAGCAACAAAGGGCTTTTATTCTGACAAAAATAAAGACATTTCCACCATAGATTGGAGCACAAAAAAATCACCAGAATGCAGGAAATATAGTGTTTGGCCCTTAAATTGTTCTAGCAGAGGACCCTATTTATATTTTTACTAACGTACTGTGTTTCATAGTTTGACAGGGCTTTGTCACCATATTTAGTTCTATGTTTTATGTGTTTTGTGCTGCTTTGGCAAGCTAAAGACAATTTCTCACTCTGGCGGACAGTAAAGTTGTATTCTGTTCTTTCACATGACCGCCCGTTGAATTTCCACTTGTTCCATCACATCAGAGCGACTTAAATTTGAGTGTGTGTAGCGTGTGTTTGCAGTTAACAGCTTGGTCCTGACCCTATTGTCAGGCAGCTGAATTCAAATTGATTCAAATCAATTCACACAGCACAAAACTCCTCCACTTTAGTCTTCCCTGTTGTTGATTGTTGACATTCTCTTGTCACACCCATGCATCTACATCTCCTTTTCATCACTTTAAATAATACAAACAAAAGTCACATCCATACAGAAAATTCCACAATTCAAAGGAAAATCACTGCACATTGAAATGCTAAAAAAGTAAACTCACACTGTGTGAAATGAGCATTTACTTTAAAAAAGAAACAAAGTAGTGTTTGACATTACAAAAGCCTAAAATAATCAAGTGCAGACATATGTTTGTGTGCATGTGTATGTGCATCCATGTCCTCCAGGTGTGTGTTTGTCTGCGGAATAAAAAGAACCCCATCAGCTGCAGACAGGGATTGGATCTTTCTTTGTTTGCTGTGGCGGATGGCGACGGCTTCAGCATGACTCAAATTATCTTGTCAAAGCAATAAAGGGGAGACGGGAGGGGGGTAGAGAAAGAGAGATGGAGAAACAAGGAGAGAAAGGGAAATATACTGAAAGGAGCGTGGCGGGGGAGACAATAAGGCAGAGAAGAAGAGAAGGAAAGAAGGGAGATGAGCTACATAAAAAGAGGAGAGAGAGCTGAGAGTTGAAACAGGGAGGCAAACAAGAGGAGATGAGCGATAGAAGAGAGGAGAAGAAAGAAATGAAACAAATAAATGGATGGTAGGGACCAGAAAATTAGAAATGGATAAGGCTGAAGAGAGAGAGAGAGAGAGAGAGAGAGAAAGAGAGAGAGAGAGTGCAGGGAGGGATAGGTGTGGAGAAAAAGAGGTAGAGAAAGAGAGGCAGTGAGAGAGATAGAGAGAGTAATCGATTACCTATTTTTCAAAGTCACTTAACGTGTCCAGTGCTGTGGCTCTGTTAAGTAGCGGTGCAGGAGAATGGGAGGCCGGTATGCACACACACGCTCTGAGAAAGGGAGGGAGGGGACCATCCCCTGTGTGTGTGTGTGTGTGTGTGTGTGTGTGTGTGTGTGGCATCATGTGTCGAGGTGTGTGTGTTACCCACTAGTTGTCCCTTGATGAGTTCTCTTGCAGGAAACTGTTCTGACAGACCAATATGTGAGCAAGGATACGTGTCCCCAGAGGGTTGCATGGGCATGTATACGTATTTGTGTGTGTGTGTGTGTGTGTGTGTGTGTGTGTGTCAGTGAGAGTGCGAGACACACTGAAGACAAGACAGATAGGGAGTCCCCCCACCTGGTCCTCTCGTTGCCTTGGTGACAAGCAGTCTAAACGGGATATCCTGGCTGAGGCGGAGCCTATTGTTCCCGAACTAAAAAAAGCTTGTTTGATTGGCTAAATACAGGAAATCAGGAAGTGTCCTCTGACTTTAAACCCCGAGACACTTTCAATAGATGTTATTTTTATCCAATTCAGACAGACTCAAAGATAAACTCTCTCTAGAAAGTAGGATGTATATTACTATACTTACACACACACACACACACACACACACAAACAGAGGCACAAAGATTACAACATAAAAAAAAGCAAAGTGCGCACTTTTCGAAGGAACACAATGAAACGTGCACTAACACAGACGCACATACAGGTGGGCCCCACCCTGTGCCCTGCTGACCAAGGACAATGAAGTGAGGTAGTGTTGGCAGACTCTATACAGCATTATCTCATCCATGGCTGACACTTCTTTAAATCTGCTTTGACCTGAGAGGACACAGTGGAGACTGTACAGCACTCTATTCTGCCTTTTGTCCGTGTGTGAAGCAGAATTATAATGAACAGGTACTTAATGTGTGTGACTTTAGAGAGTAAAACCACAGCTCAAGCCTGTACACAATGCTAAAGTTCCCTTGAGTGTCCTTGGTAAATTGAAGGACTCTTTGGTCAACTTTGAAGAATGTGTGTGTGGTGCAGTAAATCCAAATACATTTGATTTATCTTTGGGAAAGAATTTAGACATGAGAAAAATATTTTTTTCAGTGTATTTGTGTGGCACTAGTGGCAGTTCCCAACAGATAAAACAGATAAAATGTGAAATCTGATCATTATTGGTCACTTGAGATTAATTTTAAAGACATAGTCTGATGCCAGACACAATCTGAATGCAATGTATCTAACGACAAGAATTGTTTGGTTGCTTGGCTCTTGTTTGTCTTATACATTACTGATGTTTCTCCCTTTGTCTTCCCATCTTGTCTCCAGGTAAAAAGAAGATGTCCCTGTATGACAGCCAGGCTCCAATCTGTCCCATCTGCCAGGTGCTGCTCAGGCCCGGAGAGCTACAGGAACACATGGAGACGGAGATAGAGAGGCTAGCCGCCATATGCTTCAGGTGGGCCTTAAACACATCTTTATGTTGTTTCCTGTTCACACATAAGCTCACACACAGTACAGTAAATTCAGTTAAATCAAAGCTCAAAGTAAGATTTCTCTGTCTGTTCGCTGCAGAGTTAGCTCGGTGACATTTTAGTATAGCTTAGCACAAGGAGTTGGGGGGAGCTAGCTACATCACAGAGCTAATACTAATTTATATTTTGTATCTTTTGTTCCTATGAAGAAAGAGAAAAGGAGACATTGTTGTGAAATAAACATCTAGCTTATGCCAGTGGTTCACAACTGGTGGTTTGGGGTCCAAAAGTGGGTCGCAGGTCCATTCTAAATGGACCACAAGCGACTTGCAAATATGTCAAGTTTGTAAAAAATACACTTCATTTTGAAGTACAGTGACTATCCGGCACAGAGCTTTTATTTTGAAGTGCCATTTACTGCTGTAGAGTAAGTGGCTAATAGACAGCTACTTGACAAAGACAGAAACTGATGACATAGCCAAATGCAGGTATGATGCTGAATTAAACTGTGTGGACCTTGAACTAATGACTAAGGAGAAATCTGGACCCCGTGGCTGTACCTGTTGGGAACCACTGGCTTAGGCTTTGGGGCTGTTAGCTTGCGCAGTAGCAGTACACCACTGTCCTGACTTAAATAACCAACAAAACTCCACCATACTGACCCGTCAGTGTATTGGCAACCAGCCTGATAACCAGATGAAACATGTAAGTATGAGTTTTGTGGTGTCTGGAAGTTGTTTTTTTTTTAAACTTTTCACACAGGCTAGCTCTCTTTGTCCGTGTTCAGTCTTCTTGGTAAGCTAAACTATGTCTTCATCATGTACGCAGAGATATCAAACTGATATCAATCCTTAAGACAAATGCTGGCTCATAAAGATGTATAATTTTTTAAGGGGTAAGGTGAAGGCTGAGCCTTAACTCAGCCTATTTATGTCAGGCTCACTGACCGCTATTCTTTCTGAGCTGAGATTTTGGCGCCATAAATCTGCATAAAAGGCAGAGGCATGCCGTCGACGTAACGCTAAGTGTTTCCTGCAGGGATTAGGATTCAAACCTGTGACCTTGGGTTCACTGCCGCCCCCTTCTTCTCCTCATGGCAGTTGCACGAGCTGTTTTACGGTGGATAAATCAACTCCAAGCCCTTTTAACGATGGGACGCAACCATTAGGATCCATATTTCACCTTGACCGCACGTCTGGCCATGTGTATGTGTATGTGTGTATGTGTATGTGTGTTTGTGTACATATGTGTGTAGCCTGTGTGATGCTGTGTTTGTGTATGACCTGGTGTCCACCTAAGCGGCCCAGCTTTATGATAGTCCCCATTAACCTGGAGGAACAGGGCAACAGATAGCGTCACCCCACGTGGAAATCACACTTCATTTACCCCCGTTTACACCTCCCACACCCCTCCTCCCATCTGTCTGTGTCCACATACTGTACCAGTCCTCCTCATTCCTCCCTCTTTTTTCTGTTAATTTTTTTCTTTTCCTTGTCTTACCCAACCTTCCTCATGTCCTCTCTAGTCCCCCCTCTTCTGTTTATTTCCTCATCACAGCTTTCCATATTTCTTCCCCAACTCTTTTTTCACTCTGTCTTTTTATAACCCAGTCCTGTCATTTCTTCAGTTCCTGATTTTGCTATGTTTGTAGAAGCTTCAAGCTCACACCAGACCAAAGCAGTGACCTGAAATAAACCCATGTAGAGAAAGCAAGACAGAGAGAAAATTAAAATAGGTAGTGGAGAATTACACATTTGCCTGTAGGCAGAATGATTCTTTACCTCAAAACATGAATCAAAAGAATCATGGAAAATGGGGTACAGGTGGTGGTAAAACAATAAAGATGAAGAAGTAGATGGCAGAGGTGTGGACTGGAGTCACATGACTTGGACTAGAGTCAGACTTGGGTCACAAATTTGACGACTTTATACCCGAGTTGATAAAATCAAAAGACTTGCAATTCACTTGGAATTCAACACCAATGACTTGTTACTTCACTTGGACTTGAGCCTTTTGACTTGAAAATAGTTAGTACCATCTCTCAAGCCCAAAAATAAAAAAGTATGTAATTTAAAAAGTGTACCCAAGATCACTTCATTTCCTGAATCAATTAACTTTAACAATATTCAACCCCAGCGAGTCACAACTCAATTATCCACATCCACATTGAACCAAACTGACAGCATCCAATCAAGTTGCACGAGAGAACCATGAAGAACTAAAGTTGTTACTGAGTGACAGTTGGAAAAAAAATTATACCACACATAATAACTTTCACGTACAAGATCTAGCTAATGCTTAGCAAGCTAATGCATAGCTAACGTTAGCTTAAACGTTTTTAACAAATTTGTTTTAACAAATAAATGCAAATTTTAAAAAGCATGCATGATTTTTGTAAATTCAGTATTGGCATTACATTTTTTGAAAAGTGCATTATGGACTTGAAACTTAAAGTTTAGGCCTTGGGACTTAACTTAGGACTGGCAATCCTCACTTGGAATTTGATTAGGAAGTTGCCTGTCTTGACTTGGGATATGAGTGCAAAGACTTGTGACTTACTTGTGAACTCAAAAAAGCACTGACTTGATCTCACCTCTGGTAGATGGTATAAGAAGTCAGGGGAAGGATGGAGTAAGGGATTAAAGTGAGACTCAAATAAAACACATTTGAAAAAGTAAGTGACAAAATCAGAGGTCATCAAAAGGTCCACTTGCTTTTATTTCTGAGCTGTTACTGACATCTTTTGGTCTTCATTGGTGGATAGAGTTTGCTCTCTTGTCACGGAGACAACTGAACGCACTCATTGCCTTGATGAAGGCCATGAGAGGTGGCTGAAAGCTGCTGAAAAAAAGTGGATCTTGAAATAGAGAATAGAACAAAATGGAATAGACTGCATTGAAGAGCTGAGTGAGGGTCATCCATCCATCATTGTCTGATATGGTGAGGTGTGTGTGTGTGTGTGTGTGTGTGTGTGTGTGTGTGTGTTTCAATAATTAATAAAGGTTAGTAGTCTGCCCTTCCCTCTGTGGGTCTGAGATACTGTGTAAGCACACACTCTTTCACACACACAGACACGGTTATTTAAGGAAATAGCGTCATCCCTGGGTGAGATGGGATGGTGGCTAACGTCACGGCTGGCTGATTTAGCTACTCGCCATTAACCCATCGGACACACACATACACCACAAGGAAAAAAAGAGGAGAAGGCAGAATGGATAAGAGGATGTAAATGATAAAATTTTAAGATATTTTGATAGAAATTTTCCTTTATATGCACGCAAACACACAAAATGTCTCAGTGTGACTTTCTATGCCAACAAAGGAAATGGAAGCAGGAGATAAAATAAAAGCAGAGAGTGTTTTGTGTGTGTCTTATATTGCAAAACCCCATTCTATATCACACACACATACACACACACACACACACACACACACACACACACACACACTGTCTCTCCCTCTCCCCGGCTCTCTGCATGGTAGCAGCCATCATTGAAAGTGACAGTGGGAATTTGGTCCAATTTGTAGTAAATCTGCCTTTAATGACGACCAGCGCTCGCTGAATGAAAGAGCTGTGGGTATGGAAACGAAGGCGTGTGTGTGTTTGAGTATGCTGGTGTGAAAAACGTGTGTGTCCCATATCTGCCTGGCCTCTTCTGTGAATATCTGTTCTTCTGTGTGTTTCCATTTGTTTTCTATTCCTCTTCTCTGTTCTGTTCTCCCTGCATGTGTGTGTTTGATGTCGACTGCCAGCCTGTCCTCTCCTGTGACTGTGTGCTCTGTCGCTTGTTCATGGGCCACAGAATCTCATGTATGGACATGGAAATCACATGCAAACACTCGCACAGTTGAGCAAATGGTAATCTATCATGCCCTGTAAACGTCAGGTGGCTCGTGGGGGCAAAGTAATCTACATACCCCGTCACCCCCTCCTCTTCATACCCCTACTTCTCTTCTTCCTCCTCCTCCTCCATAATCAATTTGCCTCCATGAGAGCAAGCCCCCACCTCTCCAGCAGACGACACAAAAAGGCAAAAAGCAATCAGTATCTTGAGGTTAGCACCATCCCTCCATTCCTCCGTCCATCCATTCCACCCAACTCCCACTGAAAAAGGACTTATTCATCTCTCTCTCCCTGTGGTAGGCAGTGGGGGCAGGGGTGGCAGGGGCCTCTGCTCGCTGTCAGTCAAACTCATTCTGTCTCTACTTGTGTAGGATTGATGCAGATTTAACTAGGTTTGGGAGGGTGGGCAGTTTTACCGAATGGCATTGCTTCCAAGTTACTGATCAGCCCACTGGTCCAGATTCAACCTGTTCTCACTCCCATCTCGTCAAAAGCCAACGCTTGGTCAGTTGCCCTCTACATCTAATCCCAACGAATCGAGGCGCTCTTTAGCATCTGTGTGAGATGCACCATTCTGCGTTATTATTAGATGCTGAGATCTATTGATGGACAAATGGGTCAAAAGCAGGAATTTCACCCACTGTTTGTCAATTTTACCCATACCATGGTCTTCTCCTAAGCTTAACCAAGTACTTCAGTTGCATAAACCTAACAAAGTAAACCTAAAAAACGACATAAACCTACATTGGAGGTTAATTTTGAAAAGACACTATTCATGCAATGAGTTGAAACAGACACACCATCCCTGACACATCCAAAACTGACACTAGAGGGAACCTAGGGCATCAGGCTTTGATACATTGACCAAGCATTTGTATTTGAGGAGTCGGGAATATGTGTTGCCAGATTAAGTGCAGTTGCTAAGATAATATGGCTGTTTCCAAACTTCTTTTGGGTTACTTTCCTTCGATAATTCTTTGAATGTATTTTTCTTGCTGTTGTAATAATGTATGTAAAAAGGATTGTTTGCACAATTTTTGGTGTCTGACAGGCTGCCTCATTAATCAATTTTTGGCATGTTTAGATGAAGGGATTTTACAACAGCAATGTTTAACTGGAGCTACAGATCACAACATCAGA